GGGGCGCCACCTCCACTTGGGCCTTTATGGCCCAAGTCTCCTATCCCCTCTTGGCCTTCTAAGGCCCTATTGATATTTAATTAATATATATATAATACCTTAAACATTTTCATAGCATTATATATATAATTTAACATCACCAGAAACATTTTCCATCTATATATAATTAATCGGAATACCCAGTATTACCCGATATTCACCGAAACCCTTCCGGTGACCCCGGAACCTCTCGAAATTATTGCGGATATTAATGAAACTTATTTCATAAATATATTCTTATCACTCCCGTTCCACTAATACTCAACAGATCATGATTACCTTAAGCTTGTGACCCCGTAGGTTCGGTAAAGCATAGACATGAACGAAACTCCTTCGGTCAATGACCGATAGCGGAATCGTGGACATCAGTATCGGTCCCTATGATTACATGAATGATATTCGAGTGAACCTTCGGTTATCATGTGGCGTTCCCTTCGATTCGCGATACTTTACAAAACCCGGCGTGCATCAGTATCCTCCTGGGTCATCACCATGCCCACTATATTGTTGCTCCCGTAACCGGTTTTGTTCTTCTTTCTTGTTGACGTGTTCCGACATCCCCCTGACGTGTCACCTGTGTATGGCCACATGATACGTCTCCAACGTATCTATAATTTTTTATTGTTCCATGCTATTATATTATCTGTTTTGGATGTTTTATATGCATTAATATGCTATTTTATATTATTTTCGGGACTAACTTATTAACCTAGAGTCCAGTGTGAGTTTCTGTTTTTTTCCCTGTTTTTGAGTTTCGCAGAAAAGGAATACCAAATGGAGTCCAAATGGAATGAAACGTTAACGATGATTTCTCTTGGACCAGAAGACACACCAGAGACTTGGAGATCAAGTCGGAAGAGCCACGAGGCGGCCACAAGAACGGAGGGCGCGCCTAGGGGGTAGGGCATGCCCCCCAGCCTTGTGGGCCCCTCGCGACTCCCCTGACCTAATTCCTTCGCCTATATATTCACATATATTCCCAAACCACCACAAGTATCTACGAAAAGGCTTTTTCACCGCCGCAACCTTCTGTACCCGTGATATCCCATCTAGGGACCTTTTCCGGCACCCTGCTGGAGGGGATTTGATTACGAGGGCTTCTACATCAACTCCATTGCCCTTCCGATGAAGCGTGAGTAGTTTACCTCAGACCTACAGTGTAACATCCCAATTTTCAATTTGGATGTTAATCATTAGGTCATCATATGCATCCAAGACTTGAGCATTTTGAATTTGTTTTATTTGAAAATTTTGATCCTAGAAGCCTTAAGCAACTCAAGGACCAATTGAGAGAGTTGGAGGTTTTCATAAAAATCCATTTTTAAAGTTTTCAAAATTGATAATTGGATCAAAGTCGTTTTATTCAAATTATTTTTCCAATTATTTCAATTTAAATAAATGAGAGAAGATAATATGGCTCCATCAAAACAGCTAGGAAATATTGGAAATTTCATTTTGAATAAAAATATATTTACTTGAATTTTATTTGCAATTTTATTCGGTTGAATTTTATTAAATTAGGGAAAATGTGCATTTTTAAAAGTTGCATTTAGCCTAGAAAAATGTTCACTTTGTCCTAAATATTAGGAGAGGACGATGAAAATTGTTTATGGAATTTTAGGATTTTTATTTTATTTTATTTGCATTTTTCTTCGCGAAGCAATTATTTAAAAAAAATCCGGACCGAACTGGGCCGAAGGCCCAGCCGGCCCAAGCCGCGCCACCGCCTCCCTCGAGCCGTGCTTGAGGCGGACTCGTCGGAGTCCAGCGCCGCTACGCCCCGCGCCGCCCCTTCCCCAAGTCGGACGCCGCCCCGAACACATCTTTATAAGGACGAGGCCCCGGCCTCTCCTCCTCCATCGCTCGCCGCCGTAGCCCACCTCCCACCGCAAATCGCACCTCCGCCGCCTGTTGTAGCCGCCGCCCGCCGCCGCTGCTGCCG